TCGCCAAAGGAGCTATTTGCTGCAAAGAGTCCAAGGATCTTTGTGGAAATGGTCTAAAAAGCAGGGTCTGACATAAGAAGTCCTGTCTCTATTGTTAGTGGTCTGGCTGGAGGGAACCAGTGGACTACCAGCCCTCCACTTGGTGGGTCGGGAGCATGCAGTGAGGACAGGCAGCCTGAGGAAATTTCTTTGAAGCAGATTTGGGATCAGGCTTCATCACAGAAACAAGTGTGGGGGATCAAAATAACCTACTGGCTCAGCCAGTCTAGCCCACTGCTAACACCAAGTTACCCCTGTTGGCTATGTAGATTTCCATGTTTTTCCCAGTGTTTTCCTAATGGGACTTTCATGGCATCTCTTAGAAAATTTCCCAATAGATTCCACTGCCCTAAAGTCTGCCCTGCTCTTTTGCCTATGATTTCCTGCTTAATATCTTGTTCCCACTGAGATATCCCACTGTCCAGCTCTAAATAAAGTGTGTCACAGTTGTCATCCCCACCATTCAAACACATCTAGGGGTTTTCAGCCAGCCTCTCTCAGACTTTGTTTGCCTACATGGCACAGAATTATCCCTTTCAGACTTTTCTTAAGGCTTACTCAAGTCAATCCCTCTAGGCTTATAAAATGTTTTTTCTTGCTAGTCCTTGGCCTCCTTCCAAACTGTCAATAACTTTCTAGGAACGTGACATCTGGGACTCAGGGCGGTTCTGCATGCTATGGATGGCCAATGATGGTAGGGGCAAGGAAAGGTCTTTGGCTGATGTTGTCATAAGAGCAAAAGGAGATATTTCTGTGGGAAGTCTGAGGCTCTGACCATACCAGATGGCAGTCTGTAACAAAGACACAGGGAAGAGAGAAGTTGGGCAAGGCTCATAGCTAGCTCTAACCAAACCTGAGTATAGAAGTTGGGTTTATAGCAGTTTGCGATGTGTATTCCCCATGTCAGGTACTGTGCCAGGAGCAATGCCCCAGTTTACAATCACATCATGGCAATTACTTTCTTATCTATGGTAGCATATCCATCCCACAGCTTTACCAGACATACTGAGTGGTCTACGAGGTGGGTCTGGCTGGTGGTCTTTGTTTCTCCACATAACAGAAACTGAAGGGAGGAGAACTTCCCATGAGGACTCAGAGGTGAAAGATCTAGGGCAGAGCCACTGCTACTCATCTCCCCCCTGCAAATTCTCTGCTCTTTCTGAGAGAAGAGAAAAGGCTGTTGCTATAGAAACCAGTGGGGAAAATGTACATTATATCACGTTTTCTATATTTTTCCAAGGAGACTCTTTAATCTGAGCTGGCCACCATGTATTTTTACAGAAACAATAATGTTAATAAAACCCCTAAATGTAATAGTGATTTCAAATCAAACCAAAGAATAATCTCTTACTTCAAAAACACCTCTGCCTGTAACCTTCTACCCTAGCCAAGACACTGGGACAGGGCTAGCAAGGCAGCCCACAATATGGTACATGACAGGAGGGTAAATCTAAGGCAGCAAAAGGTGTGATGAGCGGTGGGGGGTGGGTCCTACACAGCGGTAAGCGGCAGTTAACATTTGAGAAAGGACAAAAAAGCTAAATAAAACGTCTTCAGATTTGACTTGTGTGTAGAGAAGGATGAAATAAGGGTGAAAGGTACGTTTTGTAACATACAGTCTAGCCTACCTTTTCTCTTCTTTACCCACCCAACCTCCTATTGCCATCCTACCTTTGTGAGCCCCCTTCTGAAGCTCTTTTCTCTTCTGCTGCCCTTTTAAAAATTATCCCACCATTTCCTACTTGCCTTTGTGATAATAACAAGCCCCTCTGCCTCCCAGACAATCAGACCTATTGCACCCTGGGGTCTCAAGGAGACAATGCTCTTTGTGAGGCTGCACCATGAAAGCCTCTCTCCAGCATCAAGCTGGCCTGGTGGCAGCAGTCCTCCTGGGGATCCTTCAGAACAGAAGCCTAATTTAGTCCTCTGGATGTCAAAACAGGCTTTTGCTCTGCCCTTCCCACCCTCAGTTTATTTTTTACTTAATTCACCATGACCACTATTTCCTTCCTGATTTGTACTGACCCTGTGGCTTAATTAGATTTTTGTCATTATTTATAGTAGCTCCTATAATGTGTTGACTTGTAATTTCTTCAGGACAAGGACTTTCTTGCTGTGTAGAGCAATGTACAAAATAAATCTCAGCCCTGTCTTGTTCCAGGGCTGTGATTGATCCTAAGTCAGGTATATGTCCCTGCTCGTTGTCCTGGAAGTAAGTACACAAAAAACATCAGCGAGGCTTTGTATCACTAATGCTAGGTTTTATATACTGCAGTGTAGGACAAGGTAGCTATTGGAATAGGACAATTTAATTACGCTAGGTAAGACCAAGTAAGGGTACACCTGCTCGCAGCATCTTTGCTGGATGGATCCCTTTCTCCAGACTTGCTCTTAGTCCAGTGAATTTTCATGACTTCTGGGGTTACGGTAAGTTCTGTGCAGGTTCCTTGAATCCCAAAGGGGAAAAAGTTGTTTCTCTTTCCATTGCCTCCAAGGCCTGGCTGTAGGTCTGCTCTTTGCTCCTTTCAGGGTCTTGCTGTTTCTGCACACAAGTAATAGGAGTTTCCCATAAAGCCCTTCCCTGCTCTGTCTTACAGCCAGACACGTTCAGCGGTTAGCGGGGAAGAAACGATTCTCCTTTCCTCTTCCTGCCTTACCTTATGCCCCCTGTGCACACAGGTAGCCTCGCTCTCTGTTTTCCAGTCCCAGCCCTTTTCACAGAACATAATGGCTGCTAACTGTGAATAAACAACTGAGACACATACTGTCTGTTTTAGGGGCTGTAAGCACTTCTAGAGCCCAAATAATATATGACTATTAATAGAATGACTGTAAAGATATAATAAAAGCAAAAAAGTAAATGTCCTCAGGAGCATGATGATCTAACTTCAAAAGCAATTACCATCAGTAACAAAATGCAGAGAGAACGCTAGGATTACTTTAATACGATTACCTGCTTATTGCCATTTGTTTCTGTGAGTGACTGTAATGCTGCTTCACTTTCACTCCCAGCCAGTTTCTCAGATGCTTCTCACCCTGAGCATTGGCAGGCCAAGCTGGACTGTGAAGCTGGGGCTCACTGGCCTTCCCATGGGATCCAGCATATCTCTGTGAGCACCTGCTCCTTGGTCTTCAGCTTCCCCTACTCCTGTGCCCTTGCTGTCACTGCAGCATTGTTTTTCCATGCCCTGTGGCTTCATATCCATGGTGGAAAACGCAGGAATGGGAGGATGTGGAAGGGTGAGGAAAGCTGGCGTCTTTGTGGAGATGGAAGGACAGTAGGGAAAATAATTGTAAGGTCAGTGTTGTGAGACAAAGGCAGAGACTTGATGATTATGGAGGCTCTTTAAAAATTCAGCTTTATCCAGCAGGCGAGGGAGAGTGGACATAAGCTCAGTAATGCAGCACATGGGCTATACTGCAAGGAGTTCTCCTCTAGCTTCCTGGAGCCCCTTAATCCAACCAATGGCCAGCGCGCATGCCCTTCTCACTCAATCTTCAACCCCACCATGTCCCTGTGGCACATGAGTCCCAGAGCTTGATCGCTGGTACATTCAGTAGTCATGCACTTGGGTGGAGAGTCTGTAGGGAGGTAGGCATGTGCTCAGGGGGACCAAGATTCATACAGCTGAGAGGTACAGACAGTGAGACGGAGAGACTGCTGAGGGCAACAGTGATGTCGCTGCAGAGACCACATTAAATCACACCAGGGGTGAGCACACCAGCTCTGTGCATGAAGGAGAGAGTGGTTATTTTCTCGTGTTGGAGGCAGCATGGGGAAGAGTAACTCTCTGCTCCTGCTTGTGAGGATATCTGTAAGTATAAGTCGATGTTCAGATAGATAGATAGATAGAAATATGTAGGTATAGACACAGTTCTGTTCCAAACAGACAAATGTGTAGCCCCTGGTGTCTGGAGGACGTAAAAGGCTCTTCCAGAACTTACTGGAGATCTCATCAGGGCTCTCAACCCACAACTCACTTGCCTAGGTCCACCTGCACGACAAAAAAATAGGACCTTCCTCATTATTCTTGAATAAAGTAAAAAAGGTCCAGGACACAGTAAATTGAAGTAATTAATAAAACAGGTTTAATCATAAACGATGTACATATTTATAGATAGGGAGGGGGGCATGGTCTGAACGGTGGTGCCCTGGCAACAGGAATAAAAGAACAGTGTATTTTACCAGTCAATATACAGTACCAATGAAGGGTGGAGCTGATAAAGGAATATGGGATTTTGAGTCCCAGAGGCTAATTTTTACATACAACCATCATTCTTGGTTTCCTGTCAAATTATAACATGAACTAGCTCACAGCTCTGCCCAGGACACAGCAAGGCAGATACAGCCAAGAACAGAATTTGAGGGTGAGGGAGGGACAAGATATCTGAAGGTTGTTCTGAGGTATATATAACATATATACTCTACTGTTGTGTACAGTCTTGGGGCTATGCTTTGCCCACAGTTATGTGTGCACACATCTCATTCCAGTCAGCGAGAGTGGCAAGCTCACATATTTGGCTTTGAGGGCATACAGGAGCACATCGAACAACAAAGCCAGAAGCAGAACAGGGAGAGAGCTGAAGACTGGGCTGAGAAAGGGAAGAAGTAAATGGATGGCCCCAGATTTATCTGGCCAGCCAGTTCAGCCCTGTTTGGACAGCCAGCACAAAGCTTCTGTTCTGAAGGACTTCTGCAGTGCAAAGGTTTCCAACAAGGCAACCTTTATCAGACAACAGGGAAAACCATGAACAAAATGACTAGAGACATGTTAACAGAAGAAATATGATGGAGCTGGCCCTACAACCCTTCAGTTCTTAATTTTGAAGTAAAACCCAACCCTGCTTCTGAAGTGGTCTAAGCCAACATATGAATCTGGACAGTCTCATTTGATACAGGCAGAGGAAGGAACCATTGCTTCGGTGGCCAGCAAGGCAAAGGGTGGCATTTGTACTACAGTTTTCAGAGCTGGTGTGGCTGCTTTGAGAAACAATATCACACCGGGCTTGCAAAGCAGTCAAATGTATTGGCTTTTTGCAGAACAGTTTCACTTTCAATCAATGTACATATTATATAGTTTTACAGATGAAAACCACCTTTCACTGCTAGAAAGTAGACACTGTTTTGATATGAAATGCACTTGCCATCTGATTTTGCTAAGAACCCACCCCCAGACAATTAAAAAACCAAATCCCAAATAAAATCTATAATACAAAACAACATTCGTGTTGATGTCAAATGATAACTGTCCCAGCAAACATAAAATCAAGATCTTAGTGCAGGTCCCCTCAGAAGCGAGTTAAGAGTCATGTGTCCATATATAGAGTCCACTCCCAGTCTGGGAAACCTCAATAAGATTGTTGCCCTTTGAAATGCAAGTACCATTTTTTTAAAGGAGTGCTCCACGCATGCATGCACACATACACACAGACACATAGAGATACACACACGCACACACATAACCTCCTCTCTTAGCAAGAGCTGCATGCTGGGTAACTGTTAATGCCTTCTGTGCATTTTTTATCTACTTTCTTTGTAAGGATGAGGTTGAAATTTCTTTACTTCTCAGGTCCGTATTCTTTAAACAAAAAGGGGAATGAAGAGGAACTACATTACAAAGACAGAGAAATGCACTCATGTCTCAGGCATATGATTTTTCCCAGTCATTTACAAAGACGATGTTATTTACATTCGTGACTCAGCAGAATCTGCAGAAGAGTTATCCTTTCTCCATGTCGGGTTTTCTTGATGAACCCCGTGAGCCCATTCTGTGCTTCCACAGACCATTTTTCTTTAAGGCACTGCATGTGGATGATGACTTCAGATAGAAGTGCAAGCCCCCTTCACTGGATCGTGCATTTCTCCCTCTCCCTTGACTGACCTTCCCTGAGAACTTTTGATTTGATATACTTCAGGTCACTGTTGACGCTTGGCCGGCGAGCAAAGGGAGAAATCATGCCGTAGGCGTCCATGTCCTTGACTCGGCGCATCCGGAAGGATTTCTGTTGGAAGGTGTCACCATACTGGATGGAGATTTTCCTGTGGAGGGCAGGGCTCATCTCATGAGGTAGCTTGGCCATGCTGAAGAGGACATAGAACATCTCATCCACATTGGTGTTCTTCTTGGCTGAAACTTCAAAGTAAGCGCAGTTTTCATCACTGGAGACAAGGTTCTCACCTTCATCTGAGCGTACCTTACGGAAGATTTCACTGTGGTCATTTTTGTTGCCACAGATCACCATGGGGAGGTCAGCTGATTCCTTGGTCTTGTTTTTCAGGCAGGATTTGACCTCAAGGATCTGTTTCTGGAGCCTCTTGACCTCATCAAAGGATTCTCTGTTGTCCAAGCTGAATACCAGGATGAAAACATCCCCTGCAATTAAAAAAGGACACTGTAAAGGCTTGTTGGTTGCAACCTGTGTCAGAGGCGCTAATTTTCAAAAAGCAGTAGGTTTTTTTGCCATCTCTTCCCCATATTTTTTGTTTGGTCCTTTTGAATCTGTTAATTAAGCTGTAATTTAGTTCCAGTTCTTCTAATTCAACTCCCCACTCCTTTCTGTAGTGCTATGGAAAAGACTTTTGGCTATGATGTTACTTCAGCCATATCCGACTGTGTGTTCCTAGGTTGCACTGGACTTGCAAATTATTGCCCATTTGTACTCTCTTTTGTAAACATGTTTCTATCTCAGCTCTACTGCATTGCTTATCTTTTTTCTTCCTTTTGTTTGTATCTCTGTGTAAAACAGAGCCTGTTCTGACACCAGGAAGAATGGAGAGCTAGTAGCCACTCAGCCTTGGCCTTTTGATTACACAGTACAAGAAGCAACACCTGAACTGAAGATTTACAGCTAGTCAGTCCTGAACGCCTAAGTCAGGAATGAGAGGTTTCCCAATGTGCAGTGCTCTGCTGTCGTTTCATTTGCTCAAGAGAAAACAGACCATGGAAAAAAAGAAATACATAAATGACACAGATCCCCTGGCATTTCCTTTTGACATTTCCTGACTTACAATTCCTTTTGCAAATATAAAGTAACACAAACCATTGCCTGTTGAATGACATTCATGTGGAACGTGCTAAGAGAGCTTTCAGGGACAAAAGCTCACATCCACATCCCAGAAACTGGCCCTAGGACCTCACTGAATGTGGACGTTAGCCTGGTCAGATGTGAATGTCACGTTTCACTGGCTAGCTAGAAAGGTAGATAGCAAATCCAGAAAGTAGGTTTGTTGTGAGCTGTGGCTGAATATATCTCCACTGTCACTTTCACAGTTAGAGAACACATCTTAGCTCACAACAGGAACTGCTTGACAATGAGAATGTACAAAATGAGCTCAATGTTTTCCCTTTTTCCTCTTTAATTCATTTGAATAACCATAAGCTAAGGAAAAAGCGTAAAAGTAGAGCTGTCCTTTTACTGGAATATCAAATCAAGGGAATCAGGCTGGAAATTTTAGGAAAAAAAAAATCTTTGAGATTTTCTTGGTTTGAATTCCCTTCCTGTGCTTTTTACATTTGTTTTTCACTGCTTGTGTCTTATAATGACACACTTATTTTGTCCCTTGCTGTTCTTTATGCCCACGAGATTTTATTCAGCCATTCATTTGTGACTGCAATAAAAAAATATGGAGCAGGAGGGGAAGGTAGGAGGGAAATAAACTAGGGGGAAATCTCAATTTCAGACCTTCACCCAGTGGACTTCTCCTCTGTGGCTGATGCACCCTTTATAGTGCCTGGAGCATCCCGGTCAGGAAATATCTCTCTAGAGAAGTGCATCTTGCAAAAAATCAAGCAGTCTGTTTAGCTACCTCCCAAGAAAGAGTCATCTCCAGGCTACAGTTTTCAAGCTAATGTCTATCATTATGATCTTTCACCCATCGTTCCCCATCTGCAGACTTCCCCCCACTTCTTACCTGTCAGGATGGAAAGCCTCCTCATGGCAGGGAAAGGGTGATTCCCGGAGGTGTCCAGGATGTCCAGCTGATACATGTCTCCCCGGATGTTGTAGACCTTGCGATGAAAATCCTCAATGGTGGGAGTGTACTGGTCTTCAAACCGGCCATTGAGAAAGCGTGAGACAATGGAGCTTTTCCCCACCCTGGAGGCTCCCAGCACTACCATGCGGTAAGAGTTCTTGGCTGGCACATTCAGGGTGCAGTTTCCACCGGACATGGTCTTCATCATTGCTTGGTCCTGAAAGAGGAAATGGCAGAGTTGGAGGAAAGACCAGAAACTAGATGGAGGATGGAGTAGGGCAGCTCCTTACCACAAGCTTGTCAAAGGGTGCTCTGGAGCACAGTCCTCATTAGTAGATCAATGGTTCATACAGAAATCTTTTCACTGGAAATGCTTAATTTTTTCAGTCTCATTTCCAGGGAGTGGTTTTATTTTTGTTGCTTTTTTTCCTTTCTTTTCTTTTAAAGTCATATAAAAATGAAGGCATTTACACTGAAAATAGCATAGTTTTGAATTGTAATTTACTATTTCATTTAAACATTAAGGGCTAATTTTATTAGCTGTGCTTCAACTTAGACACTAGGTTCCTTCCCACCATCTGCGCCACTTAGACATTACCAGATTTTTCAGTAGAGCTTGGTTCTCATTTAGATACATAAACACAGAGGTCAGATTTCCCAATATACTGCATCCACCGCAGCTGCCATTAGGACCTAGACCGCTTTGTTTGGTTGCCTAAATAGGAGCTGTGTACAATACTCATTTTGAGATCAACCAGCAGTCAGACAGAAACAAGAATCATGCTTGACATCAGTGGAAGCTAGACATCTCAATAACTTTAAATAGCTGGTCCCATACAACCTTCATTGCTGAAGCAGGGAGTTTGAGCCACAAAATAGCATTGGCCAATGATAAATTCTAAGAGCTGTGCCTTCAGTGACCTTTTAGAAACCAGATTTTAATCTTGCTGTTTGGACTGGTGGTGTGGGAACTCCGTATCAACAAATTATCAGCATTGCAGCAGGATGGCTGGCAATGGATGGAGCTGCAGAAATGTAGATTTCATAGGAGTTTCAGTCTTTATGCATACACAGCTGTTGCGGGTGTCACAGTCTTTGTGGGTGCTAAGTACAAGCAGGAGAAAAGATGAAGGACAGCCATCTTAAATAGCTATTAGACAAGATTTCCAAACCCTGACAACTAAAATGAATCTCAAGACCTTGGAGATTGCATTTTGACATAGCACTCAGATGCAGAAAACTTGGGGGGGGGGGG